CAAGAGTTACATTATTTTTTTTTTTTTTTTTTAATTATAATTTTACAAACGCCTGATACATATTGTCTACAAAAAATTTATGTGACTTTCATAAAATTAATTAGAATTTACATATTTTTTCTAAATTCGCTTATTTATATTGTCTTTCATTCTTTTATTTATGAATTCTATGAAAGCTACAAAGTGTGCCAAAAAAATATTTTTTTTAATTTTCTTTTTCTGAAAGAAAGTTAAAGAAAAGTAATATTCGAAAATTTGATTTCTTTTCAAATATAATTTTCGAAAATCACATGTGGACATATCAAGAGATATAAAACGTGCATAAAATGCATAAAAATCTTGATTATTTTATTTTATTTTATTTTAAACAAATGTTATTGTAGTTTAATCTAGTTAAACGAATAATTTTTTTTTCCTTTACACGCGAATTGTGAAATATATATTTTCTTTCAATTTTCAAATCATGAATAAAAAAAATAATCGCTAATATTTTATTAAAGCTAAAGAGAAAACAATAAAGACGCATTTGATTTATTTTTGTTATAAGCAATTTAATTATGTTCAAACGACTAATGAAACATTCATTTTAATTGTATATATTTTTGTAACAAAAGCGATTTGTATAATTTATCAGGCTGCTGAAACTTTGAATTTCAATTATACTATTAAGAAAAGGGTATTTATGTTAATGTAATTAAATCCTTTCTAATTATCCTACCATAACAAATTTTAATTGTAGAAACTAGATACAACAAAATATATTTTTTGTTAACAAATTATCTTTTAAATCTTGTAATTAACAATATAATTTTGTCGGACGAAAATGTATTTTTCTTTCGTGTTACTGTTCATCATATACTTTCTCTGCTATTTTGTCAAGAGGATTGGTAAGTAATAAAAGAACGCATTACATAAATGTTATTATTGCAAATTGAACAATGCTTTTTTTTGTTAATGATGTGCAGAAAATTGAGATAAAATTAATAATTGCTTTTGATTATGATGGAACGTGCAGAACGTCTGGATCTCATGACCCGTGAATTAAACCGTCAATCGTTTGATGAAATAATTCAATTATATATCGGTTAAGATCTTCACCAAGAATAAATTTAGTTTTTAGGTTGAGGATTCATTGAATATTAATCGATATTTATTTGAATGCATATAATTATTCGACGATTATGATTAAAAAAAATATATATATAAATATATATTTATTGTCATATATATATTTATTGTCAATATATAAACGAAACGAAAAAGTTTTGAAGAAAAGAAATAATATTTTATATTAAATCATCAACATTAAATAATGAAAAAATATTAATATCGGTGAAGAAATAATCACAAATAGATTTTTTATCATTTGGAGTGCAAGTTCGAAAACCGGTTTTGAATAAGTATGCCTGGTACTTCAATGTCATCCAAAGATTCGATGGGTGTCTCGTCTTTTTTAAAAATCTAAAAATATATCCTAGCAGCCATGTTAGTAAAATTCAACAAGTTAAGTGGAACGGTTCTATGTACATTCAGACATTTCCGGCAAGAGAAGAAATCGACCGAGATTTCTTTGGGATGAAGTTTGCATAAGCTTTTTCTCGGATACCAAACGAGCTGCTTTATGATCTTAATTTACGAGTTCATTAATGGTCGAGTTATCGTAATTGACCTTATCGTCACATTACTAATCAACATCGTGTATTCAAGTTATGTCATCGCATGAACAGAAAAAAAAACATAGTGAATATATTTTCCAAATAATCATAACTCAAGAAATCGTTTTGTAGTAAAAAAATATAATAAGGAATAATTATAATAAGGAAAAATGATTTCATTATCATATTTAATATTGATCAAGAAAAAGATTAAAAATTTGACCTTAATATTTTGAGGTCTCAAATATTAAATGAAATCTCAAAAAGAAAAAAAAGATTTAATTGGTTGTACAACATAAATAACATTCAAAATAAGATCGATACATTTACTGATCGATCGTTTATGAATATTATTTTTATATCAATAAGAATTAATCGGAGAAAATTAAAATTTAATAATTTAGAAGGTATAAAAGAAATATTGAAAATGAAAAGAAATCTTGAGTGAATTTAAAACTAAAGAAGCAAATGAAAGATGCGATATTAAGTAACTTACAATTTTTAGAATTTCGTTTAAAATTTCATCGAAATCAATGCGTAACACTTTGTACGATCCACCCATAAATAATCAAACCGGTTATCCATTTCTGTGCCATGATGCACGATTTGCGGTGCAACAAATCGTGGATGTCATTTCTAATTTAAAATTCAGCACTCGTCAGAGTACACATAATACTAAAATATAGGTCGAAGATCACTGCCCGTTTGAACGTCTTTTCCTACTTAAAAGAGAAGAGAAGAAAAAAATAAGAGAAGAAAGGAAAGAAAAACATTTCAAATATGATATATCGAAGGAATTAAAAAAATAGACAATAATACAATATAATTTTAATACTTTTATATTTGTCAATCTCGTTCTCTATTTATACATGTATTTATAATCACTACTAGAAAATTTACTTGATTGAACAATTTATTATGGAAAAGTAAAAGTAATTCGCTATCTCGATATACAAGTTACACACCCACAAGCAATGCGAATAGGGTCACAGATATAATTGACCCGCGAAAGTTGGTTTCTCGCATCGTCCACTCTCATCACGGAAAACGTTTCACTGTCACCTTCTCCCATTTGATATCTCGTAGTAACTTACCACGATTTAACGCAATTAATCACACGATATAAATTCATTGATTGCAACACAAAGAATTATTTCAAAGAGAAAACAATCTCTATTCTTGTTAATCGTGTGAATGTTTCCCTCATTATTATTTTTACATTACATAATATATATACAAGACGTCCTCTCCATTTCTTTGATCATCCATTCATGTTTAATAAATTAACGGAATTAAAGGTAATTATAACTCTAACACTCATCTACATTCGTGTCCCTCTTCCTTCTCTTTTTTTCATAACATTCTACAGCTCTTTGAACTTGTTCCAGATAATCCTGGATCGTGTCCTCTCGTGTCGAGAATTTGCTCGAATCCGACCTAGCGAAAGACCTCTTCTGCACGAGCGCAGTGAGCATTAGAGTGACCACGGGAAGAGTCATTCCCAAGAGGAACGTTGGTGTCATAATGTTTTTTAAACCGTGTTTCTTGAATCCTTGGTACAATTCGGACCAAATACCATCGTCTTCCTCTTCGTGATACTTACCCAATTTTCCATACAAATGAGGTTTTATCTTTCCCGTTTTAGCGATGTAATTGTAATAATAAGGGTCGTACGATTGGGCGTATAGTTGAGAATAATATATATCTTTATTTGACGGTGGATGATCAACTTCGGGGAACCAAGCGCTAGCGTCTTCATATGGGATAGAAGGGTTGCCGATAATTGGTGGACCACGATGAAATCCTGGTGGCTTCGTGTAGATCACTTCAACAGGTGAGCCTTTCTGCTTGAACGGTACTGCTTAGGAAATTCGATTGCAAAATTAATTAGATTACCTACTGATTAGAGTGAATTTTTATTTAATCTCAAGTGAAAATAATCAATTATTGCGTTGAAGAAGAAAATTCTCACAAATCCTCTAATTAAAAAGTTCTTACAATGCGAATTGCATTAAGACGAGTTTCCTGAACGATGTAACTCTCGATTGCTAAACTTGTTTTCCTACTATAATTAACACGTTTCGAGATAGTTGAAAGTTTTGAGATAGAAATATGAGATACTTAATCAGAATATTGCAATGAAATATTAAATTATATATATTTTGATTTCTTTTCATATGTGACTCTGACTTGAGAGATTCAAGGATTAGAAAAACACGATTGAAGTATCTCACCTGGAGGAACAGGACCGACATATATCCCAGATCCAATTCTAGATTGTGCGTAAGGAAACGGTTTTCCATGCACTCTTCTCACACGTTGATACCATCCAGGATAAAAGACATCGTTCCTCGCTTGAATTCCAGGCGCGTGCTGTTGTTGCATTAAAGGTATAGATACTGGATTTGATACACTCGAATGAATATCTATCGGGTTCACAGGCGAATTGTAGGTTGGCTGATTAACTGGAAAAGCTTGCAACGTCTGTCTTTGTTGCATAAGTTGTGCAGTCAAATGTTGATTCACCGAGGAGGGTATGGGTTGCTGATTAACCTGCATTACTGATTGTTGCGCTAATTGTTGTACATTCATTGGTTCGACGTTCTTGAGATTTTCTTTGCTTTGTAAATAATGATCTAAAGACAGCCGTGATTCTTCTGGCGTCTTGGAGTTTAGAAAAGTGTTCAACGCTACTTGAGCCTTGGAGGTGATTCCTTGATTGTAGGTATTTGTAGACAAATGTCGACCCGTTTGAACGATCTTCTCTTGTTTCGATGGATACGACGAATTATATAAATCTCTTTGAATGATTGTATGATCATCGATTTTTATCGGATTTGCGGATTGGCTCGAATTACTAACATTTGGGATCAATGACGAAAGATGAAAGTTTTGAGAAGATTCTGTCAAAATATCCGTCATGTTCTCTGCCATTTTTTGCCTTGCAGTTTTTTCGAAGAGTCGTGATTCCACGGCCGTGTACTCGGTGTTTTCCGTCAATGGATTACCCTCGAAGTTTAATTGACCATTGACTAATCCTACGAGGGCCAACAAGATCGTTGCCAGATTCATGATTCTGGAATTAATGGTAAATCTACTAATTTTTGAACATTTCTCAAATTTTTAGAATAAAAATAGAATAACATATATATTTACTATTTCTAGCAAAATATTTATAAATAATAGAAGCTTTTAGAAGAAGTTCATTGATTAATAATTTCAATTAATTGTAATTAACAAACAAAAAAGATTAATATTTTGAAGTGTTTTGTGCATCATTCTATCGTTGGTCAACGAAAAGAAAGAACGAGTTATACAAATATTTTATTATTTATATTCCATATAGATATATACTTCACGGTACACGTCACGGTAATTAATCACTGATCTAATTTTAGAATTAATATTATATATTTATATATTATTTCATTTGCAGTTTATAGAAAAGTAGATCGATTGTACATTCATGAATCGATTGACGTGGGTTAAAGACCAGCGTAACACTTTCTTCGGTCAAGGTGAACATAATCACATTAACATGAAACACGTTTTCATTAATCGCTTTCCGATGAAGATATTTCTTTTATCACACCATTAAAGTTACATATTACCATTCTTTTTATTTATCATTAAAGTCTTAAGATATATTGCTTCAAAATCGTAAATCTTTCATACATGAAAGAGAATCGTAAATAAATCTATAAAACATTTCTTCATTTGAATTTCATGAAATAAACCGGTGAATTATGAATCGAGACATTACCAGACATACGACATAGATCACATTGTAATATCTATTATATATAAACTACGATTTTTAAAATTATATTTTTGACTAAAATAGTGGAAAAAAAATCATTGAGAGAAAATGGCTACACTTGCATAATATTTATTAATTATTCTTTGTTTAAGATCAATTTTTATCAAAGAAATTTTCATATAAGAAACTAGAAAATTGGTATGATTTTCCATTTCGTTTTCGATTGATTCTGGAATTATTTTATATGAATTTAAATGCATAATGCTTTAAAAGCTGTTGATATTCATTTTTATTGTTGTTTAAAATGATCATTAATGGTAATTTCATTTTAGTAGAATTTTAAAATTTTAAAATTTGAATTCTATCCCATGGAACTTTCTAAAAACCGTTAATTCATTACAAATTCAGCGATTGGCCGAAATTCAAAAAACGCCTTGATTTCTTTACTGGTTGACAAGGACTATTGACACCATTCATGGAACGTGTCTTATGTCGGCAATGAAAAGCGAACTAACATTACAATACATCACAAATAACATTAGAATAGATTTTAAGTGCATAATTTTTTTTAAAATTCATAGGAACATAAGAACAAAAGAAATAGAAATGCCAAGTACCATAAAAATAATTTAATGAAGTTTTAAGTAAAAAAAAAAAAATATAGCCATATTTTTAATTGTTCATTTTAACGATCTTTCATATATGTTTGTATTCTTTAAAAAAAATACTACATTAATTTTGAACAAAATATAAATTTTATATAAATTTTATTAGAAATTTTATTTATAGTTTTATCCATAAGTTTAGAATAATAATTTTCATTTATTACCAATTGAAAAAAAATTATTTTGAAAAATATATCATTATTTTAAATATCTCTAATCGAGTTAATTAGAAACAAAAGAAAAATTCTTTGAATTTTACTTACAATTGTACAATGTAACAATATTTCAATAATTCAAGCACTAAATTTTTCGTCTCTCGTCACAAGTTTCTTAATTATATTGAACACCAACTTGATAAATTGAGCTGTTATAACAAATAGCGTACAAGAGGAGACCATCCATCGGTCCGACTGGAACCAGGAATACTGAAGATCCACGATGAGAAAGCCATTCACTTCGACTCTCCCTACCTTCTCTGCAAGCTTATAAACCCGTCCCCTTGTCGTTTATTACCTGGACGAAATTGCTGTTAACCAACGTGTGTATTCCTTTCATTTTGTTCAGTGATCTCGCGAACCATTTCGTTCCTTTTCCTTGACAATGGTCTCTGCTCTTTTGTCACAAATGTTCCAGGAGAAAGTGAACCGTAAGTGAAAATCGAGCAAAGAATGCAAACTGTTTTTGAATAAGTGGGGTTCAATCGCTTATGGTTTCTCTATCGTTTGATGACAGGAGTGACCTAAATTGAATGAATGAAAATAGCTTATTCTTATTTACTATTGTGATAAAGTATTAAAATATAGATAGAAAAATTTAAGAAAGATATTATAAGATCACATATTATTTAATTTTATTATCATGATCATACATTGTCTCTTTCTAAGCAAAAAGCATTAATGAAATTGCATAATTTTCAAGGAATTCAAAACATCCTTGGGAAACATCGATTCTTCCGCAATTATGTTTGGTCAATAACTTTTTCTGCAATCGTTCGACCGCGAACGTAGATCAAGAATCGTATAGTTGTGCACCATGGGAATAACGGTCTGAAAGAAAAGATTTAATGCTCGTTTGTTGTGAGAAAATTAATAAGTCGGATCCGTTGCACTATTTTCGTCAATCGTATTTCCTCAACGTGCCCATAGACCGTGAAGAATATGAACGTATTATCAATCATGAAAAATCGATTGTCATCATCGTATAACTATCAACGTTGCTTGTAAGACAATTTTGTATCTTTAGTATTATGTTACAAGTTTACTTACTTTTTTTTTCCTTTTCTTTTAATTTGCAGTATAGTGAAGACTTTTACATCATGTAGCTATAAACTTTCAAAGAAAAGCGTTAATTAATGGAATAAGTAGGTCGACCAGTTAGAATTGGTGCTATGCTGTACTAAACGTTGTATATGAGCGTCAGGTAAGGTAACCATCAAGCAATTTCTGTTGAAATACAAGTAAATCAAACGGTAGTTTAAACATTTTGTTTGCGTTAGCTTTCGAATGACCGTTCATGGTAATGATATTGTCGATATAATTCTTTCTCGAGCATCTTAGCTATTATATTCAATAAAAATTATTTTGACCATATTCGTATCAATATCACTATATCATTACCATATTAATTACCATATTACCATATTAATTCTACAAATTTTTTTAAGGAAAAAAGAAAAGGTTATTATAAAAGAAACAATGAACTTCATCTGATCATGAAATCAATTTCAATACAGCCAATTTTCTTTCCCGACACTCTTGATACATTACTCACAACTATGCTAATCATCTCATATAAATCACACTTCTGTTTTATTCATGATTAGATAATCTCAAGAATATAAAAAGTTCTCTGTTGAAAATTTCAACCAACAAATTCTTATATTTTCCTATTTGAAAATATACAAAAGATTACCATTTTTAACATAGAAAAAAAAGATCTCGTGATTTTTTTTTTTTTGAAAAATTGCATTGCGTATATTTTGAACGAATACAAATGTTGAGAAACATCCTAAATGAGCATTCACGAAGACAATAGGAG